TTTTTTTTTTTTTTTTGCAGAACCGGGGATTGAACTCAGATCCTTGCGTTTGCCAGTCAAGTGCTTATCCTACTGAGCCATCTCCCCGGCCCCAAGCCTGTCTTAAGTAGGCACTTTAGACCACTGAGCTATCTCGCCAGCCCCATTTTCTTTCTTTCTTTTTTGTGTGTGGTATTGGGTTATTGAATTGAGGACCTTGAGCTTGCCAGGCAAGCACTTATTGTACTGAGCTATCTCCCCAGCCTCCCATTTTATTTATTTTTCAGACAAGGTCTCAGTGTATAGTTTGGGCTGGCCTTGAATTTGAGATCTTCCTGCCTCAGGCTTCTAAGTGCTGGGATCACTGGTGTATACCCGTCTCAGTTACTTTTTACTGTTGCAGGGACAAAATACCCAACACCCAAGATTAAGGAAGGAAAGGTTTATTTAACTCACAGTTTGTGGAGGTTTCAGAAGTTCACCGCATCAGAAAACAGCAAAGAGCAAAGGGAAGGGCAGCAGCTGCGGCTCCTAGCCAGCCTCTCCCCACTCCTCGTATGATAAACAAGCTACCTTGGGCTGGGGGTGTAGGACTCACACAGTGTCCAGCCCTCCTCCTGCACTGAGATGAGGATGTTTACAAACTAAGAATCCTGGCTGTGCCAAGTCACTTAATGAAACTTCTAAACTTCTCAAGATGACACAGTGTATCATCCAGTACAATCCACCCCTTGTCAACCTGGCAATCTGACACTTCCTCAAACCAGTGTCCAGGTACACAGAGGTGCTGGTTAGTATTTTACAGATTGAGCACTGTTACATTAGAACCATGACATTTGCCCCTGGGCACCCCACAGGACTCATAAACATCCCTTTGTGCAAAAGGCCTTTTGGTCCATTTCTTTTTTTTTTTATTTTCTTTTTAAATTTTTTTTTAAACTTTTTTTTTTTTTTATTTTTACATTTATTTATTGTGTGTGTGTGTGTGTGTGTGTGTGTGTGTGTGGCCAGCTCAGCCCACCAGGGGGCGGGGCTGGCTGGCATGTGGTGCTGGGGGATCGAACCGCGGTCCCTGTGCTTTGTCAAGCTTGTTCCAAGTAGGTGCTTTAGACCACTGAGCCATCTCTCCAGCCCTGGTCCATTTCTAAGAGTTGCCCAAGTCCTGTTTTTAGCATTGCTGAAAAGTCCAAGTCCCAAGTCTCCACCAAGATCCAAAGCAAACTCTTAGCTGTGAGCCCTTGTACAAAAAAACACTTCCAAGAAAAAAAAAAAAACTTCCAACATTCAGAGGCACAAGATAAACATTACCATTCCAAAAGGTACACACACAGCAGGATACCAAGCATTGGGACTAAAGCAAGTCCAAGATCCAGAAGCATGAACATTAAGTCCCTCCCATAGTTCCATGTGGAACATCCAAAGCAGTCTGTCACGAGTTGTGAGCTCCACAAGCCTTCCATGGCGCCACCCCTGCAGCACTTCTGGTGGCTCCCACGGCTTCTCTCTGGCACTGGCTTTGCACCCTCTCTGCAGCTTTTCTCAGACAGTGCAGGTTCCTGGCTTTTTCAAACTTTTGTGTTTTCCACTGAATAGGCTTCTAGCTTTACACACTGCCCTCTCAGGGACACACTGCCTGGCTTCCCAGGCCTTCTGAAGTCTAGGAGGAAGCCTTCTTAGCGTCAGAATTCATGCATTCTGAATGCCTCTAAAACCAGTGCCGCACGGGTGACGCCAAGGTCTGCTGCCGGCTGGAGCAGTAGCCAGGCATTCTTTCAACAGTAGGGGCCGAGTGCCTGGAAAGCTGAGCACTCTGAACATGATTCCGAGGAATAACCGTTCTGGAACCTGGTGTGGCCGTCACCTCCATTCTGGAGCATGGCTGCAGCGAAGTTCCTTACCCTTGCGACTCTGAAGCTACCAAGGGCGACAGCCTGCCGCCCCTGTGATGCCTGGGACGTCTTTGCTGTTCTCCGTTCCTCCTGGGCAATGGAGATAGATCTGTCTTTGCAGTCTACAGCCTTTTTGGTGCTTTCTGGCCAAACTCATGTTTTAAATCATCCTGCTGGGCTCTTTGCTCTTAACTCTCAAGATGTACCTGACTAAAAGCCCCCAACAAGCCATGCCACTGCCTCAACATTCAACTGCCTTGAGATTTCCTTTGTCAGATTAATAGTCTGCTGTGCTTAATCTCTGTCTCAGGCAAAGTCTCTGGATTGTATTTGCAGTTTTTTGAGACAGATACCTAAGGGTTTCCAGGTGCCCTGTAACTTGTGAGCCTCTTGCCTCAGCCACCTGAGCAGCTTGCTCCAGGCACGAGCTGATGCTTGGCGAGCTGATTTTGTCTTGGGGTCAGGAGCCCATGTCATGCTGGCGCCCGTCCTCGCGGCAGTGCCAGGGTGTTCACAGCGTCTCCCTTCTCTCAGATGAAGGCCTCCTGCTTCTCATTGACCTCATCCGGCTGCTGGCCCCGGGCCACGTGGTGCAGTTCAGCTCCGCCCAGAACAAGCAGATGCCCGACCTCAGCCCGGACTACGTGGACGACACAGATGGGCTCTACACCAAGAGCAAGGCCCGCGTCCGAGGGCGAGGCTTCCCTCTGCCGGAGCTCACAGACAGCTTGGAGTTTGCTGATGAAGAGAAAGATAGCCCCATTCTCTTTATGGGACATAAATTGTTGCGTGTGAATTCAGAGTTTTCGTTCAGAAAGACTCCAAGGAATCGGTGAGTAAAGCACCATTTGGCTGGAGAATTTTATTTCCTTTAGTTTTTTGTTGTTTTTTTTTTTAATTTTTTATTTGTGTGTGTGTGTGTGTGTGTGTGTGGCCAGCTCAGCCCACCAGGGGGCGGGGCTGGCTGGCATGTGGTGCTGAGGGATTGAACCGTGGTCCCTGTGCTTTGCTAAGTTTGTTCTAAGTAGGTGCTTTAGACTACTGAGCCATCTCACCAGCCCAATTATTTCCTTTAGTTGAACAAAAATTTTTTGTTGTTGTTTCTGACGACATTGGGCATTGAACCCAAGGCCTTGGACATGCTGTGCTAGGCAAGCTCTGTACCAGTAAGCTATATCCTTGGCCCTTTTATGCTATATAAATAGTCCCAGCTGGGCTGGGCATAGTGGTGCGCACCTGTAGTCCTAGCACTCAGAAAGCTGGGGCAGGAGGATTGTCGTAAGTTCAAGGCCAGCCTGGGCTACCCGTGAGCTCAAGGTCAGCCAGAACTATGTATGTAGGCAGATACTGTCTCAAAATAACAACAAAAAAAGCTGGGTGTGGGGGCAAACGCCTATATTTCCAGGACCCTGGAGGCTGAGGCAGGAGGATTGTTGTGAGTTCAAGGCCAGTCTGAACTGCTTTGTGAGACCCTGTATCAAAAAGCCAAAGAAAAAAAGTTGAAAATAAAAATAAGGCTGATGTCCCTTTTGCAGTCTTCTGTCTCCTGTGTGCCTGGGGCTGCAGAAGCATGCGTCCCGCACTTAGGAGGAGCAGTGCTGAGAAGCGTTTCCAGTCTGGCTGGGGATGTGCCCGCTGTGCAGGGCTTGTTTGGCATGTGCATAGTGCCAGCACTGCGAAATGAGTTTTCAAGTGTCATAGGCCTGCGTTTATGAAGGAACACCAGTTTTGTGTTCTCCACGGAAACATCTGGAAGTGGCCTCCAGCTCAGAGTGCCAGAAGCTTTGACTTAGGGCTCATGACTTCTGGCAGAGGCAGAAGGTGTTAAGATGGGAACGTCCTCAAGAACGAAGTCAGGCAGGACATGGCATGAAGATCTGAGTTCAAGACCAGCCAAGGCAATTTAGTGATGTAGCAAGACCTTGCCTACTTCAGTAAATGAAGGAACCAATGACGGAACGGCTAAGGAAGCAGGGAGGGGAGGGCGGACAGGCTGGGAGTGCAGCTAGGTGTAAAGGCCCTGGGCTCCGTCTCACTGGGGGTCCTCTGTGCTATGCAATTGTCATCTATGCAGTGATGTCTTTCAGTTTGTGTGTGAGGTGGGTGTGCGGGAGACGTTTGAGCTTATGATGCTCTGATTGGTTGATTTGCTTCATTCTGATTTCTTTCAGGGACTCACACAACAAGATTTTCCGAGATCTGACAGTGTTAGCTTACCTTGCCCAGCTGATGCCCCCGGTGCCCAAACCCCTGTGTGCCCTGCACAGCCTGACGCCCTATCAGGTAATGGGCTTGTGTGGAGGCGGCGGGGCTGCTCGGCAGACTTTGCCAGCTGCCTGCACACTGCGCGCTCTTGGGGCCTGAGAGTGCTTAGCACCCCCCTCGGGTCTTGTGCTCATCCTGTTTCCAGATACTGAAATAGCTGCAGAGGCTGGGTGACCCAGCAGGGCCTGCAGAGCTGACGTCCGCCCCTAGGCAGCCAGCTCAGAGCCACAGCTGAGGGCATGTGGGTCAGCCTCTCACCTGTCACCTGGGGCCACGGCAGTCTCTAGGAGGGGTGGGCTCAGCCAGCGTCGCCCAGCCCCTGGGGCTCCAGTGCGCTCCTCAGTACCTGCTTCCCTGGCTGGTTGAGGCGGACACCAGAGTGTGCAGCAGGTGCCCGGCTGCCGAGGCTTGTTCTGGACAGAAGCTCCGCAGCGTTGGTGTTTGGGCTGATGAGCATCAAGAAGGCTGGGAGGCCGAGGCCAGAGGAGCCCACAGGTTCGCGGCCAGCCTGAGCTCCAGAAAGAAGGCTCCGTGGGGCTGGTGAGATGGCTCAGTGGTCTAAAGCACCTACTTAGAACAAGCTTAGCAAAGCACAGGGACCGCGCTTCAATCCCCCAGCACCACATGCCAGCCAGCCCCGCCCCCTGGTGGGCTGAGCTGGCCACACACACACACACACACACACACACACACACACTAAATAAA